TATCGAGCGACTACGACTACGACATTGTAGACAGAACCGAGAACCATTGTAGACAGAACCGAGAATCATTGTAGCGGAGGCTTAAGAATTGACCAATATAGTCGACTATTCTTACGACTACGACTTTACGACTTCTATGTAGATGAGGCTTTAAGAGTAGATATTCAAGTATTTCCAATTTCGTGCACTTTTGTCTAAGATTGTACGTCCAATACATCCTTAACGTTTGATCAACTTGAATTGAACATTTTATAAAACAGAATATTCATAGAAATACAAATGACTTATGAGAACTTTTGAGAAATTCTTGAAATTTAGATAGTGCCACCTCTTTGCCGATCATGTTCTCCCGATACATCGAAAAAAACGGAGCAGCCACCGGCTGCTTCACGCCGATTGGATCGAACTTTTATATCTGCGCTGCGATAGAACCATTCATCTCGATCTAAAAGTTATAGCCCAATCACAGCGCAAAGCGCTCGAACGCGGCCAATGTGGGCGATCGAGTGGCCACTCAGCGATAGGCGCATTTCCCCCCGTTCGCAAACGAGTCTCAAGTAAGCTCGTATCCCATGGCTGACTCCAGTGGCCACCGCAGAAAATCCAATATGGTGTCCGTCGTTCAGCGGTTTACTTCGGATGTCCGTATTTCGGAGTAAAATTCTCGTCCGGCGACCGCGTGGCTAGCAATAATTATGAAAATTCGATTGAAAGCGCCACGCCGCACGTGAAAACTCTCATGCCACTGTGTCTCGCGCACGATCGGCGGCCGTGAAGGGGCTCGAGTACGTCGCGGGGACACGGAGTGAGTCGCGATTCCCCTGCGTTGTTCTCTTCCTCAGCGCAGACGGAGAATCTTGAGAGATAAAGGGGATAGGGAAAATTGATAAATGGACACCGGCAAGATGGAGGGTGCCGTGGAGGCGGCCGACCCGGAGGCGGCCGGGAGGATCAGGGCGATGAAACGGGACTCGATAGCGGACGTCACAACCTTAGACATCAAGTCACGTCTCAGTTTGGAGACGACGGAGGCTTGCGGCGAGCCGCACGTCAACGGGGTGGTACAAGTCAACGGTATCTGCGACTCCCCCCAAAGAACTGCCGCTGTCACCGATCTCACTCAGCAATCTAAAACAATGGAAACTAGTCATTTAAACCAACATGGTATACAACGCCAGCTTACTCACGGTGCAATAGATAAACCCGGTACATAACGATAGAGTTCAGACAGGCGAGCGCAAGTATGCCAGAGATCATGTCGTCACTTGTTGCCGTCTATCACTCGCGAAAGATCCCTGGAACCTCAGGATCCTCCGATCTTACGTGTGACAGACTTGTGCATTTTCTCTTCAAAAACTCGCGTTTAAAGACAGTTCTTTTTTACGCCTAAAATTCTATTCAAGTTTCAAAATTATGTTGACTATGTTAAATTTGAGAGACGGAAGAAAGCACCTTGTCTTACTGGATTAGTTCTAATGTACCGTACAACTGTGCATAAAATGTTGGGAATGGGTGAAAACTGCTTCTTGTTATGTTACAGAACAAGCAGGAACATTATCCATGGAAAGTAAAGACAACGATATCCAATATGTTAGCTATACAAGTGAATTACAAATGCCTGATATTATGAAATTAATACAGAAGGACCTAAGTGAACCGTATTCTATTTACACATATAGATATTTTATTCATAACTGGCCGAAATTGTGCTTCCTGGTACGTGCCCTCCAGATAATCTCTAGCTTACGTTAGCATTATTCGAGTTAATACACGCATTGCCACAAGTATGCTTTTCTTACGACACTGATAAACCACATTCTGTATAATTCATCATGGGACGTGTGAAAGATATTGACTCTGCTTCAAAAATTTCGTAACAAACGCATGAAAGAATCGCAAAAAAGAAATCTAACCGTTATGGCGCAGAAATTTACAGAAAGCTCTTGTTCTTTTGTTCGTCAAGGCGATGCATGGTGAAGAGTGCGTTGGTGCCATTGTCTGCAAACTAGACATCCACAGGAAGGTGATAAAGCGCGGCTACATCGCGATGCTGGCGGTTGACGTGAAATATCGGAAACGGAAGATCGGATCGAACCTGGTGAGGCAAGCTATCCAAGCGATGGTAGAGGACGACGCCGACGAGGTAGTCCTGGAGACGGAGATCACTAACAGGCCGGCGCTGCGCCTGTACGAAAATCTCGGATTTGTGCGGGACAAACGATTATTTCGATATTACTTAAACGGCGTGGATGCGTTGCGACTGAAATTATGGCTCAGGTGAAATTCATCCGCGTGCTTATGTCAATAGGTATTTAAATAATTACAATGTTGAAGAGATGTAACACCTATGCTCTACCACATCGGGCAAACGGGCGACATTAATGTCAAAGAGATTATATATATGTTTCTACGTGCACAAATATGTTTTCAGTTGCAATATTGTGCGACTTATCCTCTGTACTTTCTCGAGAAGAAAGTGTTTATCTAGTTAGGTTATTTATGTCGAAAAATGTAACGCAGTTGACGAACTTTGTGTTGCAACAAGATTATATCTGCTTGGAAACCATTTTACTTTTTAACAAATTCATTTTCCGCATTGCGAGATGAAATCTCCAACAGCCTATTGATAGTACGTCCGTTAAAGGCGGAACATATGTACAGAATAATTTGTTAATAGTGCCTAACTGTTGCCTGACTAGTTAGTTATTTTGTTATGAATTTGCTGCAATTCCTTTGATATTAATGTCAGTGATCGCGATAGATTTCAATTGCAGCTTGAAGATGTAAAAGTAATTGAGTGATAGCAAGAGACAAAATCGAGACTGTGAAGTGTACTGAAAATAATCAATGTATTTTGCTGGGGCTCACATTGATAAAGTGTGCATTTTGAAGCATATACAAGATTGACTAATCCGAAAGAATTATGAGTTTTACGTCGTTAAAATTGTAACTTTTTGCGACTAAATGTATGCAAATGGTTACATATGAACATAACATGCATATATACTATATACGTATATACGTAGTACATATAATAAATATATATACTATCGTATATACAGTATACAGTATGTATTTTAATTATATCTTATATTATGAATTCTTAACATTTCTGTATGAAGAGCAATCAAAAAGGTTCATGAATATATAACTGACTTTTTTATAGTCAGTTTAATGAGGTTCGTTAATTTTTACGAGAAATCAATACAACCGATTTTACTATTTCTTCATTTACCATAAATGACGATGGATTTAACTTACAAATTTTAAGATTCGTAGTCTCCGTTCAAGATAAACTGAAATACAACTTGTAGAACTGTAAGTAAAGTAATATTTAAGATATAATCAACAAAAAGCCGGTGACATATTTATATAAATTTTTTTATCACTGAATATTTGTAATGGACCCAGTTCGTTTACTTTCATTTCAGTGTTTTCTCGACACGGGATTATTATAAGATTGCGTTAGTCAATGACGTTATGTGAAAATTGCTATATTACGCTGTTGCATGACAGACTGCTATCACGTAAGGTTGCGTCGAATGTACGATTTTGTCAGTGTGAACAGCAGTTTGATAGAAATGGAAAAAAAATACGAGGAGAGGAAAGAGGGAAGCAAAGGACGGTGGAGGACGGCGAAACTTTAAAAAAGTATTTCCGTTTGAAATTGTAAAGTGATACACGGAAATATCGATATTTATATATATTACATTAAACGGATGTGGACAAAAAGGAAAAGAAATGGAAAATTATCGTTTACGAAATTGAAATGTTTCGCGAGGAAGTGCGCCTCACGCGATTAACGCGGTGGGGGGTGATACGCGCATTACTGTCTACCTATTATATCTATCTTTGTATAAAATAAATGCGAAGCACAGATCATAATGTAACTATTAAAAAAAAATGTAAAAAATGTTAATAAAAATACATAAATGTTTTTACACGCGTCTCGTTTACGCTCGTTCGATTACTGCAAACCGTGTTCAGGCAATCGACGTCCCAATATATGTATACATCTCTTAATTGCTTATACTCGTATAGAGTATTGTTACTATATATTTTTTGTACATTGATCATTCGAAATGTCTGCCAGAAAATAATTTTGTAAGTACATATATAAATTATATAATATTTAATTTTATTTGGAGTTAGTAGCGGATATGTACTGATGTCGCAACGATATCGGATTTCTTTCGTCCTTGGCGGTTTTAATTTTAAAGCGGGAACACACTTTTGCAGAAGTGCATATATATATAAGCAGGGAGCACATACAATAAGTAACTAAGCATATGCATAAAGAAATTGATTGGTCCATAAGCAAATGCATAAGGAAATAGGGCCATCGCACACAAAATTGCATAGCTGCATATGCACAACATGAAAACCGTTTAAACCATCGGATATCGAGCATTGAGTCGCCATATTGATTGAAGCCTATCACACAATGCCAGGCAACAGGAACAGGGAATAGAATTTCTGACGCGTTGGATTGGTTGAAGGAAAATTTTCGACGAATCCAACGCGTCAAAATTCTATTCCCTATTCCTATTGCCTGTTGCCTGGTATTGTGTGATAGGCTTTACGTAACATATTGCTTATTGGTCTAGACAGTCTAGACTGGTCTAGACCACGGTTTTACCACAGTATAACCAGTAGTTGCACTCTCTGTCGGCGCCTTTGATCTGGGCATTCTCAATTTTCCGCCATGTTTTTATTCGCGCCAACAGTGTATCAACGGCTAAAAGTGCCTGGGCCCTTTTCAGGATCGTATCCAGGAAAGGCACATACGAACTGGCATACATTATTTATTGTAAATGAAAATGGCCTATGAAAGAAAATGTTCTAATAAAAGTAATTAATGTAATTACTTGCTCCAACGTATAAAAGTATTT